GAGGTGGGTAGCGGTGAGAGGATTCACCAGAGACAGAGTGGGGAGAACAAGCGTATTTACAGAAATTGATTGCTGAGGGGAGCAATGGGAGAGACAGGAGTGGTCTGCTTCACATGTGGATCAGCTCCCTGGCTGGGGATCCAATTCATGCTACCGTGGCTGTGGATAACTTCACAGTGCTGATATTTAACCACCTGTGCCATCAGGGAGACCCCAAAAATTTATATTGACAAAGATTTGTAAGTTTCCTTCCCCCAAAATCTTGTCGTTTCCCTCCTGCCCTCTTCCCCACTGATTATAAATCATTCTCCTATGAAGTGTGGCACAAACTGGAAACTTAAAATTCTCTTTGCTGAATCACATCTTTGGCAATTTTATCTAAACCACAGGAAGTTTTCTTAAAATGTTGCTTCTTCAAGTCCTGCTAAAACTAGTTTAGTATTAAGTAAAAGTCATTAGTGGCTTGCAATGCCAGATACCAAGCCAATTATTTAATCCTTGAATGGAGTCCTTTCTCTCTCTGGGCAAATCATCAGTTTACATGTCATTACCATATACTTTATGACCTTCACAACTTAACAAGTGTTTTTCCATACATTACCCCATCTATCCAGTGAACCTGTAAAGAAATCAGAGACATTTCTGTATTTTTCAAATGTGAACACTATGTCATTGACGCAAATAATTCATTTAGGAGTACTGGCAAATGTCAAAGAAGACTCAAATTCTCCCTTTCAAAACACCCAAATAATCCTTTTTTAACAGTTTAAAGATTGTTTTCTCATTTTAACTGCCTTTTTCTCAACTGTAATCACAGAAACATGTGGGGACACGGGTTTTATGTGTTTGGGATTCCTACTTATGTGTCTTTAACAATAATAGTAAATGACTATGGAAAGAATTTTAGTTCTAGAGAAATCGGGACAACTATCCTCAAAACTTCATCACGTCTAAGAGTACAATAATATTGACTAGTTTCACTAGGTCAAAAATCTGCCTTTAACTTCATACAACACTTAACAGTCTACTTTCTAAAACATATGAAAATAATAAATGTCTGAAATTACACAGAAGACAACACAAGTATATACAGTGTGTGTGTCAATAATAGTGAGAAAATAAAACTTCATTCATGGTATTACTATAAAAACGCATGCATTTATTTTAAAACAAAACTTTTTAAAAAGGTTTTAGAATTGTTCATCAAACAATTGAAAAGACAGCTTTTAAAGCACATCTCAGAAAATAGCTTGTAGTAGTTATGTTTTATTCATCACTCCTATCTCCCCACCCAAATATTAAGTAATTATTAAAAAAATGCAATGATAACCTGCACAAGAAGTCCTTAGAAAATGTCAAGTTATTTGGCAAGCTAAAATAATGAAGACATAAATTAAAACCAACAATTTTCCCCTTTAAATATAAGAAAAAAAAATTAGTGAGTTCACTTAGTGGCAATGGAGGCGGGACACTGATTTTATTTCCAAGATTAAAATGTTATGCCCAAGGAGCATAGTTTCTGCTAGACCTTAACACACTCATACGTGTTTATTTTGAGATATCTGAGATATATATAGGGAAAAAAGCTAAAATCACCAGCAAAATCTCAACCCTACTATATAATACTAACTATACTTTTTAAAGGTCCCTTACCATACAAAGGAGACTTCCCTACAAGTTTATATTAGAATTTACAAGACAAGGCATGTTGAGAAGACTAAGTTATATAATCTACAAGTATATGAGACGTCTAAAGTTCTAAGGTCAAATGGAAAAAGAACTTATGCTTTCATTCATGAAATGTCAATTCTCCCATTTTCTCTTCTCATTGTCTTTCAGATTGATTCCTACTCATTACCTTTTCTGTTGTCTCATGTAGCATTTCTCTACATTTCTTCACCTTACAAATCTTCCACTCTGTATCTGATATTGAGAAATGTCTAAAATGTCTTAACATATATATGACCTCGCCTTCAACTACATGTTTCTGATTCCCAGAGGCTGCAACATGGTGGCTAGAAGTTAGCCGAGATCAGTTGCAGATCTGAGCCCCAGGCCTGCCACTACCTGTTTTTGTGACCATAGACAAATGATTTTTCAAAAGAACTAAAGCATACTTACCAACTTACTATAAAATTAAACTACACTTGGTATAGAATAAGTACTTCCATGGTTTTCCCCAGCAAAAAAACAAGTGCAGAATTAACGTGGTTGATTTCCCTTACTGCCCAGTTATGGATCAAATTTTCATTTTTCTTAAAAGTTTATTTGTTCAACTTAATAAAGATGACATTTTCTTTTAGTCATTTCTTTTCCTTGCCATTTGCTAAACAAAATCATGTACCCTATAGAATTGCCTGTGACCAGAAATGTATTGATTGCATCCCTGTTTTGACCTTTAATGTGTTCTTTCATCTAGAAGCTTGATCAGAGTTGGGCTTTTATTTTTTTGTCCTGTTTTTGGCAAAACATCTCATAAGTGATAGGTACCTTTTATTGAGTAGTATTATAAGGTATGATAGAGTTCAGGCATGCCATGAACTTCACAAAAGCTCTTCATCAGCTTTTCAATTAACAGCTTCTTCAACCATTGGTGATTCGTGCTTATATTTAATTGGTTAGGAATCACAAAATGGTGATATTCTAACAACACTCTTTCTGTACTTTGACAATTCTACATATACCACAAACGCTTCCACTCAATTGTTTGGCTACCCTAGAGCAAGGCACGTTAAATGCTTCTTTTTCTCTAAGTTACTCAGTTTCAAAATTCTCCAATATCCCAAATTGACAAGAATTGGTTTGCTTTTTGTCTTCTGTTTTAGTGACCACTTGGTACATAATTTACATACTTAATGTACTTTAATCCATTTTACTTTTTTATCCTTACAGATCATCAAATTACTCCATCTAAAAATCACTGGTTTGAAATGCTGTCATTAAAACTTGAGCCTGAGAAAACACAATTAGTATTCAAGAGTTTCCCCACTTCGGTAATATTACTAGACTGGAAATTTTCTGGATGTGAACAAGCACTGTGGTTTTTGTTTTAAAGAATGTATACAGCTGAATCAAAATAATTTCTCTCAGATTTGCTCAAAACAAGCTTATGACAGGTGTACATTGGGCATAAATCAAACATCTGGCAAGTCATTAATTTTTGTAGTATGATATATATCCTATTGTTCATTATATCTTCTACTTATATACATTTGAAATATTCTGTAGTAAAAGTTTTCTTTTTATCCTACTTTAGGATTACACATACACTTAAGGCCAGCTCAAACCCAACCAGAATATTTCTGAAAATTTTATCGAAATACATGAAGAGGAAAAGAAATAAATGTATACAGTTTCACTTGCAACTCAAAAAACAATCTGGCATTGAAGTTAAAAGATAATCTGAGAAGTGTGATTCTTAAAGTACTCTTTATTAAGATCATTAAAAGTTGTAGAAACAACTTTATATTATAAAGGCACAGGGAGACAGTTCCGATAGAATATTCAAATTAAACAGTAACTTACAGTACAAAAGACAATTTTAATGCACATACAAACCCCAAATGTCTGATTCAAAAATATTTTACTGTGTCTATTAATGGGCAATGATTAAAAATATAAATTGCTGCAGTATAATAAATATCTGATAGTGAACATCTTGATAGCAAAGTGAACAAAATATTTATTGCTTTTCACATACATATTTTCCCTGTATTTTTAAATTCCTAATTCTTTTACTATTCTTGCCTCCTTTTCCAAAGATAAAAGAAATTCCCTTAATTTCATGGGGTAAATGGTAGTTATAAAAAAAACTACCTCAAGTAGCAATCACTGCTGGCAGTGTTTTCTCACTTCTGTTCTGCAATCACAATCAGTTTTCAAAAAAAGTAAGATAAATGCTTCCTAGCCACAGAAAGACAAACCTTGTGTGACTGGCAATCTAAGGTTTAAAATGAATACTTATTAAATATAAAAGGTGCTCCATTTTGCAAATGAGTGTTTTATTTGATGTTCTGAGTAAGAGGTGAATGTTTGAGAAATAACTTTACCAATTCCCCTCAAATGTTTTTCAGAGTCATAAAAAGTCAGCCCAGTAAAATGTCCAGCACTTATATGGTTAAGGGCTAGTTGATATATGTAATGCACTGATAAATAAAAATTAACACAATATAATCTGTTTTATAATGGAGAGCTCTTACCCTTCTCCTTCCAGTTTTTACACTGGGATTAACTATTGATTTCATCCTGCTTTTTGCAGCAACTCAGTTATAGGTGGTACAAAAAGTAGAATTTTGATCACAACCATAAAATAACATGAAAGCATCATCCTAATTTTATAAATGCTACTTCAACTTGAGAAATACATACATTAAAGTATCTGACAATCATTGTAAAGTTACTTAACCGTATGTCATATTCAGACAGTGGGTAGCAGCTAGTAATGTACCTGGCAAAGAACTGATGCTCAATAAATAGTTGCTGAATGAAAAAGAAAACAAAAAACAAAAATAAAAACAAACATGGCTTTGGTTGTGCATATTTTAATCACTGTTTTGATTTAGGTTATTCTAGAACTAAATACTGCACATTATATCAAACTCTGCTGTAAACAAAAGTACTAACTTTAAACAGAAAAATATCACCTTTGTTAGTGATAGTCTATCTATCTATATATATATATGTATACACACACACATATATATATATAAACATTGTGTAAATATTCCACAAATTCCACACATTTGTTAAAATTTTTATCCACGTACTTAGATTTGACATTTTGATGTTTAATAATTGGGTAATGTAATGCCAAAGTGAACAGACTGGCTTAAACTGTTTTACAGTGAAAATTACTGTCCATCAGTATTTTACTAAGATGCTTGTTAAATTTAAATGATAACTACCATGTTAATTTCTGCAAAACTACCAGTGAGTAAAGGTAGATATCTTTAAATTATGTATGTTTGAAAGCAGTAGCTTAACTTACCAATGTCAAAAAAAAAAAAAAAAAAAGCCAAGGAGATCTGAATTTAGTAATGACAGTTAAAGAAGTAGAAGTGGGATCCTAAGAAAAGGTCAGTGATCAATTTTAAAATTTAACATTCTTTGGCATATGCATTACTACCTTGGACTAGTTAGCATTTAAAAAATACTGAGCTATATATTTTTTCTCAACCAAAATTAAGATCAAGGTTTAGATTGCTAATACAGTCTTCTTAAAACCGTTTAGAAACGATATCACTTCTTTCAACATATGCCAAACTTCCTGTTTAGTATACACTTATATTATTGGCATAAGGGGATATAACTGTTAAATAACCTTAAATGAGCTCATGCAATGGTGAAACCACAGAAGGTAGGGAGAAAAGTATTTACATAATCAACTATTTAGCTTTCTGAAAAAAATGACAATAAATTGGGAATACTGCCCTAAACAGTAAATGTGTACCACATGGCATTGAATGAAAACTAGTCAAAATTTAAGCAAATACCTATAATAACCTGAATGTAAAAATTAACAGAAAACATAACAAGTGGGGGAGAAAAACCCTACACATCAGAAGAAAAAAGTGGCCTATAAAACAGGCCAATCTAAATTGTCATTCAAAATAAAATGCAAGAGATTCACAAAATCATGATAGTAATGCAAACTATGTCAAGTACCAAGTACCCTTTGATACACAAGCTGATGTAACTATCAGATTCATTTCCAATAGCTTAACAATATTAATTAATCCACCCACGCATTCAAGGGGTGCAAAGCAGTCAATGACAGCTTAAGTCTCCAAAGTGTCAGAATAAACTTATTTGTAGAAGCATTCTGTGATTTTTGAAGTAACTTCTTACTTATATTGGATGGATATTAACATATAATCTATCAGTGCAAGTTTATCATCCTCCTAATGTAATGCTTCTAAATTTCATTTTTCCAGATAGCTTTTGGTGGTATAGTTTTAGCCAGTGCTACCTTAAATAGAGAAGAGAAAAGTTCATCATAGACTACCTCACGTTGTTACTTAATTGTGCTAGATATTCACGCAGTTCCTTTGCAGCCTGGAATCTGCCATAGCGCTTCTTTGGGTTGGCACACTCATCCAGCAAGGCCTCTAGTCGGCCATCTTTGGCAATTTCACTTGGTGGGTCGTGAAGGAGTCCTCCAGAAGTGCCACGCCAGGTGGCATGCCTGGATAAGAGGTTCTGACAAACAGCATAGTAATTGTGGTCCACAGTGGCACGAGCACAAAGAATTTCTTTTGAAAATGACAAGCAAGCCTCTTTATCACAGTCATCAAATTTGCTTTCATACCATACATCCCAATTTTCAGGTTTATCTGTTAAAGGAAAAAAGAGAAAAGTACATCTTAAAAGAGTTTTTATTATTTCTAAAAATATAATGTTACTAATTAACATAGTGTTTGTTTACTAAAATTGTATTATGAATGTTTCATTCACCAGCAGTCCACCAATACCAGACAGAAAAACCTACCACCAAGGGGTTGAGATTAAAGGAAAACTTCCTATCACAGGCATATGGAGAGGATGTAGATAAACTAGAGACAAAAATTAACAGGTGAATGTATGAGTTAAGTTTAAAGATAAGGTAGATATTAACAAAATAGTATCAATATATATACAAATAGAGTATAAGGTAGCTATTAAGTGGTCATGTCATGTATATAACTACAAGTAGACTTATAATTGATGATTTTGAGGTACCTTACATATATTTTGAATTCATCAGTATACACATGCTTAATGGGAGCAAAAAAGAACTGCTAATTGTACTAGAAAAGCATGCTGAAGGCAAAGAAAAAAAAAAAAACTGAGGGGACAAACTTAAATCTTAAGAGGTTGATAGGAGAGAATCAAAAGAAAAACCAAAAAACTATTGAGTAAATAATCACTGGAATGTCTACTCTATGGGAGGTTAAGGGTATGTATGAGTACACAAAATAGACAGTAGATATGGAGTAGACATTAGAAAATAAGTAAATAAGCATTTTATTGTAGGAAATGCTAATGAAGAGAACACAACAGCAGTTTCCAACAGTAGAAAGGCTTATGAAAACAAACCTCTCTACCACTTTAGTAATCAAGTAGTATTTGTTTACTGATACTTGCCAAATAAAGCAAATTAAGATGCAAGGTTGCCATGTAAGGAGAAAATTAAAGGTTTGTTTCATATAAATGTAGACATTATTTGACATATAAAAATGAACCAAAAAAGAAGTCTAAAATTATATACTTACTCTGTCTAATTAACCTTTTGTCAGCAACCAAAACATTTTCAGCATCCACAATGATTACCTTCCCATCTCTAGGCCCAACTGCGAAATTGTCAAAGCTGACATCCAGGAGGTAGAGTGCAAATTCAAAGTCATTGTTTGTAAGCTGTTCTGCTATTTCCATTAATTGCCAAGCAAGGTCAACTCGCTTTTCCCATGGTGCATTAAAGTAACTCCACAGCTCTTCTCCAACATAATTTACAGCCACCATTCTTCCACAAGCGCCAAGATATTTTGCAAATGGCCAACCTTCATCAGATGGAAAACTCTATGAAAGAATTATCTTAATATTATAAGAGATTCCAATGAAGATACCCTAGGCTTACTCATAGATTCTCTCAGTGGATTGCTACTAGACAGGGGACTAAATTTTCTCATTATATTCAATAGATAAATGGGTCTGGGGAAAAAAGTTAACTCAGAGAACTTCATATCATAAAACTGAAATAGCTGGCGATAGGTGTGATGTGGTAACATACATCAAAAAAGTGAAATATATATACATATATATGTGTGTATATATGTGTGTATACACACATGTGTGTATATATACACACATGTGTGTATGTATACACACATGTGTGTATATATACACATGTGTGTATGTATACACACATGTGTGTATATACATGTGTGTGTACACACACACACACTCTGTTAACAATGTTGTAAAATATTACCTGATAAAAATATTTATAAAATGTGTTAAAAATACAATAAATAGAACTAAAATGGAATTAGTATCACCAAAATCTCAGAACCAAATTGATCAGCAAGTCATCTTCTCTATTACCAAATATATAAGTATTTACATTTTTTTTCTTTTTTTGACTTGTGAAAATGCAGTTGGAACACACTCAACAAAAAAAACTTCAAAGCCAGTAGTGTTAGAATTTGGACAAGGGAACTAAACGAAGGCTGAGCTAGGTTAAGTGGCTCAACTACCTGTTTCAACAGACATAACAAATCATTAACTAGAGAATCCCTTCCCAGTATCTTTTCAAACAATTTGGACCATCTTGTTGACCAAAGGTGCCAAGTTAGACAAAAACCATTAGATCCTAGAGGGAAAAGACATGCGAGGTTTGAAAATAACCCATCTCATTCTTGTCTGGGAGTGGCACAGCCCAGAACAAGGTACAATGCTGTTCTTCCTCTAATAACACCTCAGGGACATTCTCTGTAATTATCTCCTGATTCCCCTTCCAGGAGACAGGCTAATTCTCTTTTCCAGCACTGGTTCCCTCTTGTATGAGTCTCAAAGCTTTGCCTGGTTCACTTTTACCTGTAGTGAATTCTTTCTCCTAGAGAAAGAATTTTGGGGAATTCAATCAACCAAGTTTATTAGTATTTATTAGACACTGCAATGCAGACAGATTTATCTAAGCAGAGTATGCGTTAGTTACTGAAAAATGGCATAGATCCTAAGAAAACATTTAATAATCCAAAAGCAAAAGAAGGGTAGAATTCACAGGACTCTTGGGAAGTATCATTTAACCTATATCCAAAGTGTGGTAAAGAGCAATCTGAGAGCCTATCAGTGCAATGGCCACTCAACCTTTTGTCCCAAATTTATCTTATTTCCCCTTCCCTATTTGCATTTTCAGTTCAAGGTTCAGAATCAACAATATTTATTCTCCTATTATCTATAAATTTTCCCAATAGATTTTATAATTACTGGGAGAATCATCATCCTAAATCAAAGGAAAAATCTTTCATGACCATCAAGTCACTTTTAACTTTAAGTGATAGGTGTTTTAGAACAGGAAAGGTTAAAGCATACCTGCACAGAGATTAAGGATGAAAAGTAATGTTTTAAACAACTCCTTGAAAGAACACATAACTGAGAGGGAGTGAGTGTGGCTTAAGATATTAACTCAGTCTAGTGTCTTTCCTTAAGTTGGAAAAAAAAATTATCATGAGATGATCTTTATACAACACTATAGGGGTAACAAAACACCACAGAATATAAATGTGGCCACGTTCTGCTATTAAAATCTATACACATTAAAAGAGCAAGAGATGAAGTTTTTCATGTAGGATACCTAAAGAAGAAATATATTATTAATCTTTCACTAAGCTTTTACACAATCACCAAATTTCTAGTAACACTCCTACATTAACACAATTTTAAGACAAAAAAAAGATTTTCAGCACTATATTCCATTCCATTATTACCTGTTTATACATCTGTGCTCCTATTCAAGTTTATCAATGCACAATTACTGTACTTTTTTTTTTTTAATTTCAGCAGGTTGGTGATAAAACACTGTATAAATTATTAATTAAGATGTGGATCTTTAACTATAATAAATTTATTGATTCAATTTTAACCCAGACAGTATCTACTGATTCATTGACAATTACAGGAAGGCACATTCTTAATTCTGTTCCTGAGAATTTATTACTTTTGAGCACCAGAAATGACAAGACTGGCTCATGTCCAATGTGAATGGCAAAAACTGTTTCTAACCCACATACTATTTTCAGCTTTTCCTCCCAACTTAAAACCCTCCACAACCTTGAAATTTTAGACAATAATTTTGATAATAAAATAATCATTTATAAAAGATTTAACTATGAAAACTATCCATTTATAAAGTCACCTACATAAAATATGAAGCAGTAAAAATAAGTAAATATGCAAAGATTACAGTTTTGCCATACACAAAGTAAAACAAAAAATGCTATACATTATTGGTCTGTTAGTCACCTGCCATATTATAGAACAGATACAAACATATCATTGTAAAATAAAATGGTCTTTGACAACAGGACAAAAGGGAACCCTGCCAACATCTGCACATATACAAATGTCTCTTTGTTTTTGGAACCTTTCCAACTGGCAAATGACAGTCAAATACACACTTCATTACCCAAGACCCTCATAGAAAAGGATAACATGTATGAAAAAAAGTCATACTGAATAGCTTTATATTCACCCAATGATTTCTGAACTGTTGGCTGAAATCCTGCTATATGCCTCATTTTAAGAAGAGCATTGTATTTTTTTAATGTATTAATAGTTTGTTAGCTAATCTTTCAGAAAAACTTTAATAAACTAAGTTATATCACTTTTCCTCATGAAAATTTTTCACTGTATAATCAAAACAGTCAAATTTCATTAATTTCTATTGAACACACAACAGTACAAGGGAAATTTTCATAGTAGGTCAAATTATTTATAATTGGTATTTAAACCAATTCTGGATTGGAACTAAATTGCAATGGTCAGGCAGAGTATGCAAGATAAAACTTAAAACATTGTAATGTGAACTTTATTAAAAATATCAAGCAGAAAGAAACTTCATTTCCTACTTCTTGATTACCTACCAAGCTTTCACAGTGCATAAATCCTAAGTGGCTAGTATAATAAGTTGACTGCTGAAGTCCATCTTCTATTTTAAAATAAATATTTTCAGTAATTTATTAAGTTATTAATTTATATATTTTTAATTTTTCAAATTATTTAGAACAATAACTACATTTAGTAATCTGACACAAAATGTGAGGCTCTTAATGAATTATTTATAAATGAAACATATAAAACATTTGAAGAAAAATGCCTTTAAATAAAATGGCTTAAATTCTAAATGGATTAGATGCATTTCAACTAATTGCTCTGGGCTGTTTATCAAGCTTAAATGCTTTAGGTATAATATGTAAATTTTTCTGAAGTATTAGATTAAGACTATATGAAGACAAAAAAAAGGCTTAATTTCAGATCTCCTTCTGAACGGTATTATAAACAATGAACACTTTCCAACAAAACTGAGAATCACTAAGTCAGAAATTTTTACTGTGCTCTAACAGTTTCTAATTTATATTAGGATACATAAATTAGATATTAAAGCTTAAAAAGGCAAAAATGCTATAAAATGCTATAAGAAACTTAAAGAGCATTCACAAGCATCAAAAATAAAAAAACTTAAAACAAATAAACAAAGCACTGCAATTTGCATTTCATTTATAATAGGTAAGCAAAACAGGTATTTCTATTTTAGGTATGCCAGAGTAACCTGTCAAATAATATTGATCAAGACCAAATGCCATGATAGTTTATGAGATTCACTAAGGGGATGAGAAAACAAATTCTAGTGGCAGAGGGTACACCTGTGTAATAAACCTAACAGCACTAAGTGATTTACCTATAAAGTTTTACAATTAGTAAGAAGTGCAGCCAGGCTAATACCATTTCTCAATCCAATATTCTGTTTTAGAAATTTTCAGATTTTTGGAAAGGTAGCAATGCATATACTTCAAACTCATATTATTCAACATCTCCAGGAGAGTCTAGGCAGCAACCCACAAGAAAACATGTTGCCTTGCAAAAATAATGTAAGCATATTCAGTCTAAGTGAAATAAAGTACATAAATTACCTCATGTCATTTTTTATTTTTTATTTTATTTTTTTTTTAAAGATTTTATTTATTTATTTATACAGAACTGGAGTACAGGCCAGAGATGGGAGGGTGAGAGGATTCACCAGAGACAGAGCAGGGAGCAGAACAGGCAGATAGAGGAAACACACTGCTGAGGGGAGCAGCGGGCGTGTCAGGAGAGGTCTGCCACGCCATGTGGTCACCTCCGGGGCAGGCAGGAATCGAACTCATGCGGAAGTGGCTTTAGATTCTCAGTGCAGTGCTTTAACCCGCTGCACCACCAGGGAGGGCCCTATTTTTTATTTTTTTAAGATTTATTTATCTATGCATACAGAACTGGGGTACAGGCCAGAGGCTCAGGGGTGGGGAGAGGCTTCACCAGAGACAGAGTGGGGAGCAGAACAGGCAGATCAATGAAGTACATTGCTGAGGGGAGCAGCGGGTGGGTCAGGAGAGGTCTGCCACACCATGAGGTCACCTCCGGGACAGGCGGGAATCGAACTCATGCGGAAGCGGCTTTAGATTCTCAGTGCTGTGCTTTAACCCGCTGCGCCATCAAGGAGGACCTCATTTTTCATTTTTAATGTAACACACTCCATTTTTCTACAAGTTTTTAAACTTTGGAATTACAGATAAGGGAACGTAGGTTAAAACACATTTCACTGACTAAAGTAGCTGGAGTTAAAGTCAGTGAGCATTACTGTGGAATGAAAATAATACAAATTTTGAACTAAAACCCTTAGACCTATCATAGTTCCACCATAAAATTCTAAGTACCAACAGTTGTGAATAAAACATAGTCCCATTCTCAGGAAGTTTTACAGCCTTATTTAGAAGGATAAAAACATATAAACAGGCCCTCCCTGGTGGCGCAGCGGGTTAAAG